TTGTGGTTCAGGGTTTACGGTTTAGGGTTAGGGGTTTGGGCCCCGTAGTAGATCCTTTTTGGGATTCCCTATCCCTAATAGGATCCTACATATAAGCCACAAAAAAGGAACGGCTATGGGGCCTATGGGTAGGGACTTAGGGTATGTAGTATTATGGGGTTTGCAAGTGAAATCACTTGTCTGCTACGCCTCAGTGTTCTGCAAAGGATCGAGGGCCAAAAGGAATCTGTAGCTCTGCAGGGTCGAGCCATTACCCCAAGGGTCCAAAGGACCCAACAATCAGGTACTTAGGTTTCGGATAGTAGTTATGTAGGTTACTATTTGGGAGAGTATATGATTAATTATTAAGTACTTGGACCCTTAGGGTTACATCCGAGGGGCATTCGCACTGAGCGGCTGCTTCCGTCACTGTGCGAGTCTTTACCGCTCGCAGTGTTTAGGGTTTACAGAGGGTTTTGGGGATGTAGGGGCAGTTCGGGAATTTAGGGTTTTTTGGGTTTGGGGGTTTTGAGTTTTGGGCCTTAGGGCTCAGTTTAGGCGTGCCTCCTCTTCCCTGAGGGTCCAAGTATCCAGGCCATCGAATATTTGTGTTTCTTGTGTGGAGAGAAGATTCTATGGGTTCTGTGTAGGGCCAAGGGTTTGGGGTCCAGGCAACCAAGAGTGAGCATTTGAGTAGCCAGAACCATACCAAGTACACCCTCAAACCCAAGACCCTAGTAGTATTTGGGACTCTGAAGCCTTACTGCTCTGGGTACTTGGCCCCTCTAAGGCCTGCTCTTTTTGGAATCACCAGCATACTTTCTGCGGAACTTGTGCCAAGCAAAGGCTCACGTCGTCCGCAAGTTTATGTTAAGGGTGTTGGAACGTTTCGAGGGTTTCGGGCTACAACAGCACATGAAACCTTGCCGCGAAAGCAGTACCGACCATGAACACACAAGAGAAATCCCGGCAAGTGCAAGAAAGAGATCGCCCAGTGAGTGCGGCAACCTTTCACAGTCGGTGAAGGGGTGTTGGACTTTTGGGTTTCGGTCCACAGAAGTCCATAACATAGAGGTCCGAATAGCGAGTGCTGCCATGCCCGTTATCATTGCAGTCCCTATGCTGCTTGAACATACACCGAAACCTTGTACGCCATTCGGCAAACTCATAAAGACCTGCCTGCAAGTGCCCTATCATAGGGGCCTTAGCAATTAATGTAGGGTTTTGGGGTAGATTATATTCGAATAATTATAGTGAGGTGCCCCAAAAGAGTATTGGTAATTATTTTCGTCCCTTTGTCTTCATCATGCTATCGGGTTTCGGTCGTTGGGGGTTTGAGGGTGAAGGTTTTCGCCGCGGCTTCTGGGGATTAGGGTACACGGGCTAATTGCAGCACCTTAATGGTTGGAAAAGGGCTGCCTGAGGCGTGTATATTAACCCGTTGTAGGGTGTTTGTGGATGGTTTTAGCCCGGCTCATGATTAGAAGATCAAGACGCAAACTGGATAGGTAGATCGAGGTTCAGGTCGCCAAAGCTGCTTGAACCGTAATTGCTACCTAGAACCGTGCTATTTGGGCACTTGGGGTCTCAGAACATACGGTCTGTCGGAGAATCTATCGTTTAGAGCCTCTAGGGGTTCAAAGGTGCACACGGTTCAGTAAGACTACACCTGCTTCAGTTACATCCCCGGGTAGCTGTCTCGGGAACTGCGAGCTGTAAGCTTCAGGATAGAGTCTTGGAGATAAGTGCCTTCTGGCATAGGGTTCTGTGAGCTTGTGATATGCTCAGAGCTGAGACATAGATGTTGAAGGCTTGACACCTACTCAGACAAGGGTTGCATGCAAGATCGCCGCACCCATCCTAGCGGTCGATTCGGCACCGGGTAGACCGGGCTCGTCTACCAGCCATCCACAGCCAGCCGCAGGCTCCGTCGATGCAAGCATCCTTCTAAAATAGAGCCCACCACCTAAATGCCCAGACCCTAACCCTAAACCCTAAAACCTCAACCACCTGCACCCTAAACCCTAAACCCTAAACGGCGCTAAACACAAACCTAGACTCTGCTTCGAAACCTCCTTGGTCCAGACCCCAGCGCGCCATGAGGCTTCGGGAACTTCTCTCTTCTAGCTTACGCGCCTCCGTAATCAGAAAAGGGCTGCTTCAAGGTTCCCCCTTGGAGGTTCATGGGTAGTTGTAAGTGGGTTTACAATTAGGGTTGCCTTAAAGGGTTCCAAAAAGTTCTATAAGGTTTAGGGTTTAGGGTAGTTACAAGTGGGGTTATAACGAAGGGTAACTACAGTTATAACCCATATTAATCGACTTATAACGCGAAAGGGCTGCTTCAAGGTTTCCGTAAAAAAGGCTCTACAAAGGCTACCACAAATACTATGGTTTATAGGTTCTGTAATGGTTTAAGGGGCAGCAGGGGGCTTCCTCTTGGTTTTACAAGCGCTCAACTCCACCAGGCTTCTAGGGTTTAGGGTTTAGGGTTTGCTTCCTCCATGCGGCAGAGGGTGCTGAGTTTGCGATGTGAGAAGTCGGCTGCGGGGATGTTTCGGAGACCGTCAAGGCGATAGTAGGCCTCCCCGGTCCCCTCAACCCCAAAGCCCCTAAACCATAAATCTTATAAGCCCTAAACTCCTGTGTGTTAGGACTGCTGCTCTGGGAACGTACCGGGTCCAGAGGTTTGGTTGACATCAGAACGCTTCAAAATAGAAAACACTAGCACCATCCCCTTAGAGACCTGGCAAATAAGTATATACATATATATATATATATGTATTAATATATATATATATATACATATATATATATATATATATATATATGTTGTGTATGTATGTATATATACATATATGAAAACATATATATATACACATATACACTATACTATGCTAATACTTCAACTCCCAAACCCTAGTCTTATTACTAAGGGCAGCGCATCTGGGCTTGCGCTGGCTGCCCCAAGTTACGGCGTGGAAGCGAGCAGAAGTACCCAAAGAGGAAGAGTCCGATCGGTATCATGATGAAGGGGTCAGAAGCTTCAGAATAGGGCTTCTGAGGATATTACACTGTATTCTTTATTGGGGAACCCTAGGAATAATGAATAGGATTGGTGGATATTCAGGCTTCTATAGTCTTCACAGGCTGCGGTTGAGGGTTGAATGTTTCGGGCCTCATGCATAAAAACAGGATTTCACAACGCTGAAGATTCCAGGCATTAACCGAGTCGTTTGAGCTTTGGGGTTTACCTGTGGCTACTATGTTAAGGCTTATGACCCTCGATGTCTATGGGGTCATAATGCGCTGTTTTCTGGGGTTCTGAGCTATAGGTAATACCTCTGAGCCCTCAACCCTGCACCACCGGACTCTTGCTGTACACGGTGCGGAAAACATGCCGGCATGCCTGCGATTGACACGCCAAATTCCCACAAGCCCACGCAGAGTCAGAATCGGGTCATGTGGAAGGTCTCAAGTGGTTCCATGTGCTCATACTTTGGCCTTCAAGTGGTCTCTCTATATATATATATATATAGGTACTTTGGGGCCAAAGTGAATACTATTTGGGCACCTGGACCTACCGTGGATTGGGGATACTTTGCAACTTGCAAGCCGCCCCGGGGACAGGGACGGATGCATGGGTACAAAGGTTGAGGCGTAGGACGTGCGGAAGCCAAAGCGTTTAGGATTTGGTGCAGTTCCCCTAAACCCTAAACCCTAATTCAAACGTCTATGGCGACTTCTTGTGGGGTAGATTTATGATACAGGATCCTGCTGAGAATAGGGGATCGCCCGAAAATTTATCCTCCGCTGCGTTTGGTTTCTCAGCTGCTGCACCACTAATAATCTGAAACCACAAGCCCTAAACCCGAAACCGGTACATTGTTCTGCATTCTACTGTGGTGTCAAAACTGAAAATATGTACTCTGAGCTGCTGCAGGCGGTCTGTGTGGGCTTCGGCTTTTGTGGTTTCGGGTTCAGGGTTTAGGTTACGACACGCTCCGCTGGCACTCGCATGAATCGGGAACGAGGTTGATCGTTCAATTAAGTGTGCCGCCCAGCCTGCTGAGAGCTGCCACTCGACTTAGCTACACGGAAAAACCTGTGTGTGTATGCATGCATGCATGCATGGATCGATGGATCGATGGAATGAGGGATGGATGGATGGATGTAAAGGAACATTAACAATCAACAGAAGAAGTTATACCTGTAGATGTTGCGTTTATACTTTGTCTGCTTACGCCCTGTGTGTGAGCGTGGTTTGCGAGTGCATGGTGTGCCAAGTCACCCAGGTAGAGGTGACATGAAGGTTGCTCTAAACCCAATTAATGTAGGGGCCGTAATAGTTAGAGTAGGGTTTTGGGGGTTCCTTGTTATCATTGTAGTACAATATACTTACGGCCCTATAGTACGTGTTGAAGAGTCGAAGGGTGTCTGGAGTATCTTGAGGGCTACGTTTCCTTTAGAACAGTCTCCGCCACGAACGGCAGCAAAGGCTAAATCTGGGACTTCGGTCAACACAAAATGGATGCACATCAAGCCGTCGCGCATAATAGAATAGAGCCAATCCATAGCCCAGAAAAACCAGGAAGCAAAAAGTACACGGACTGTAGGATCCTTCATGTCAAGGACAGCTACTGCAAAGAATCCCCCCCCCCCCCCAATGAGCCCCGGAGGTCGTGCAGTGCGGGAGCAACTACACAGCCCTTCAAACCGCTAAAGGTCACAGACATTCGATATTCAACCGAGCCTAAACCTAAACCCTGACACTGCTAACACTGCTAACTCCCAAAACTCCCCGGCTGTTTAAACCGAAACCACAACTCGAATACAGTACTGAAGTCAGGATCTACTCTGTAAAACCCGATTCACGGCACATAACAACACCTCGAAGCTCTCGTAAACCTATACGAAGATCTTATCAAAGCCTTGACGGAACGCTAAAAGAAACTTTATAGAAGCCCTTGAAAACTTGAAAGGAACCCTATGGGAACTCCCCTAAGGCTGGAATCTCGGAGGACGTCGGTGAAGAGCTCCCTTGCTCTGTGGCCTCCCGGAGGAGTCGAGCGATGTCCAGGCGTCCATGGGATAAGGCCATATCCTTGGTCAGGGCTGAGGGCGTAAAGTTTTATAGGGTTTAGGCTTAGGGATTTGGGTGGACAGTTTTAGGAAATAGAGTTTAGGGTTAAGGCCATATCCTGGATCAGGTCCTTGGGTGTGCAGTTTTTCAGAAACTAGAATTTAGGGTTAAGGCCATATCCTTGAAGCTTGAGATACGGCATTCTCGAGTCGTATAGGTACTATGTATAGTAGCAGAGTAGTAATAGAGGGACTGAAGGTTGTATCCTTGATCAGGGCGGGGTGTACAGTTTTAGGATGTACCTTAAGAACCCA